GCTGTGCCTGGCTGTAGCCAGCTGGCTCACGACGTGAATATCAAGAAATTCACGACGTGAATCTTCCTTCAGCCCCCTATAAATAGAGGTGTCGGGTTCCATTCATTCTCACACCTTCCCATCTTCTCATTCTCTCTCTAGAGTCTCTCTCTAAGCCCCCTAACCCCTCCCTAAGCCTAGGTAAACCCCCTAGCACCCAAAGGAAGCCCCAAGGCTCCCGGATTCCCGAGAAAAAAGGGCCTTTCGGCTCGGGAACGCGGCTCCAGCGAAGCTCGGTTTTCGAGAAAACCCGCTGTAAGTGAGCTATGCCTACCCTATCTTTAGTATAGCTTATGTTTTAATATAGTAATGTTATTAGGACCTTATAATAATTAGTTGGGCTATTATTATGAGTTATATAAGAGTCGTTATAATATATTTTTAACCACTCGCGGTACAAGGAATCTGGTTTAAAAGGTCGCATAGGGTTGTTGGATTTCAGAAGTGCTATTTGCCAAAATGGTCCTGCCCTCCGGTGTTTTATGTCTGACCTTGTCTGTACATAGTGGGTGAAGAGTATTGTTTAACGCTTATATAATAGTAATAATAGCTAGACTATTAATTAGTCTCGGTGAATGTTAGACTAAACCCTAGTGGTAATGATACTAGGTTCTGTCAAAGGAAATTGTTTTAAGAGTAACGAAGCGCTGTCTGAGTTCGAAATCACCACCTTAACAGGTGAGTGCATAGTTACTTTCATCTTACACATAGATATGAAGTATTTTATATAAATTACGTGCTACGTGTGCATATTATCTGTATACTTGCTATCTATGTTGGATGAACGATTTTATACATGTTTTAAATGATTTAAACTGTATATGTATTTTATATCTACAAAATGTGTTGGGTAAAACATGGGTAGATGTAATAGTTGCTGTGTGACAAAATAATGAGAGGCCTCGTTATAAATGTTATTGATGATCCAGTCATCTAGCAGAGTATAGATGACGACCACGGACTATTCTAGACAGTCTAGTGCAACGCTAGCAGGCTCGCAACCTGTAGGTGTTTATTTGAATTGTGTGCTCACCAGCAGTACTCCATTCCCCACATGGTTGCCTTATTTGACATGAATTGCTGAGGAACCCCCGAAGCATGTGTTGTCACCCCGAAGCATGTGTTGTCCTTAGACTAGGTCCCTTGTGTTAGACGTTTTTAGGGACGTAAAGTGAGGATAACGGGAAGGAGTAATCGGGTTTGATTGGTTTGATAAAGTTAATAAACTTATTTATTGTGGGTTGAAAACCATATGTGCTCACCAGGCTCCCAAGCCTGACCCACTCAGTTTCTTGTATTACAGGTAGTGGCGCATGAGCATAGATGTTTGGATGAGAGACATTAATGGATTGTAGGCCTGTAAATATGAAATAATGTAGTAAGGCTTACATTGTAATGTTTATGCTTTTGATCTGTATCGAACATGACATCCCGAGGTTTTTAATGAAATACATTTCTTCGGAAATGCTTTGATAAATCTTTATCATATTTTATTTTGGGAACAAATTACTCAACACTTTTATTTAAAACGTTACTTTGATTTTTAAACAAAGCATAAGCAAAATCGGTCTTTTCTGGCCGTGAAAATGGGGATGTCACATGTCACAATCATGAATCAGAGTAACCCAAAATTATAAAACACATAAAATCTATGATGATGTGCATAATCAAGCCTTCGTCTTGCCCTTGTCCTCTAAAGTACCTGAAACCATAAAATCAAACTATAAGCCAAAGCTTGGTGAACTCCCCACACAAACATATAACATCATGCATACTGGGTCCACAATAATCGGAGAAGATTACCTCTGAGCCTACAGCACGAGTCTGGATTGCCCACCTGGCCCACAGCTCATCTCTGGATTGCTCCCGAGCCCACAACATAAGTCTGGCTTGCCTTTTCGACCCTCAGCTTATGTCTGGCTTGCTCCTGAGCCCACAACATAAGTTTAGCTTGCCTTTCCGGCCCTCAGTTTATGTTTGGCTTGCTCCCAAGCCCACAACATAAGTCTGGCTTGCCTTTCAGCCCTCAGCTCATGTATGGCTTACTCTCAAGTTTGTTGGCTTCCGCACAGAGCAATATTGCCTTAACCTAACCACACTATGTTGATATATACAACATATAAAGATATAACCAACAACAGGTAATCATGCAGATCTAATAGATCACTACAACATAACAAACATCCTATATATCAGGATACATAACCTAGTGGGTCGGAATTGGTGCCTTCGACCCACTAGTACAGTGAGGAAAACTCACCTCATAGACTGAAAGATAGCTAAACAGATCACTTCTCTAAATATTGAATCTACCGGTCACCTATAAAATAAACAAGGACCCAATCTCAAACTACTAATCAAATGAACTAAAATGACCTAAAGTCAAACTTGGTCAAAATCAAAAGTCAAAAGTCAAAATCTCAAACCAGACCGAGTATGCCCTATATACTCCATCTCTACGTATGGCATAGAGAGTGCCTTCCAAACTGTCGGACTCCCATTCAGTACGCGTTGCGTACTCCTAAGGTACGCCCATCATACTTACGCCCATATTTCCCTGTTTATTAAGCCCTTATTCCTTAAAGACATCACGTCTAGAACTCAGATCTAATCCCAAATATCACCCTAAATCATAAAGTTTCCAACTTTATGACTTTGCATGGCTAGAAGGTGCCCAAAACCAAAACCCTAACTTATAACAAAACTTCAAGCTTCATTTCTCTTGCATGAGTGAAAGGAAAGGATCAAGATCAGATTTTTATGACTCCAAGCACCTTAAAACGTCTGAAAAGATTACTCAAAAGGTCTGGAGTAGCACATACTCAACTAGACCAAGATTATTGGACCAAAATGCACAAAAGCCTTCTGGAGGTTGCGAAGGAGTAGAGCTCGCGAAAATTGACCCAACCCACCAACCCAACCCGAACCCAACCCAAAATTAGCAGGTTGGGTTGAGATTTCCAACCCATTTATGATAAATGGGTCAACCCATCTAACCCATTTAATTAAATGGGTAGGGTTGGGCAAATGTTTTCAACCCACTGACCCATTTAACTTTAATATATATTTAGATTAATAATTGTTCAAATATTAACATGTATTAATCGAAATATTAATTTATAAATCACAATGTTGTATTATTATTTATGTTTTAAAAAATACAGTCTTAATTCTTATCTTTTTTCTTTGTGCCGAAAACACTAGTTACTCTTCAAAACCATTTCGAAATTACATATCATTAATGGTATTTGAATAAAGTCTTTGTATTTGTGAATTGAGATTGTGCTTTTATTACAATTTGAAAGTTTAGTTAAGTTTGGAACTAATTTAAGTGTTGTAATCTTTAGTTAATTTATTTACTTTTTTATTTTAAATGGGTCAACCCATTTTTTTAATAGGTTGGGTTAAGAATTACATAAAGGGTCAACCCAATGACAACCCATTTATCTGAAAGGTTGGGTTGGGTCGGAAATATCCACCCATTTAAATAAAAAGGTTGGGTTGGGTTGGAATCTTCAACTCAATTAATAAATGGGTTGAACCCGAACCCAACCCAGGTCGACCCATAAGGAGATGTAAGGTCCAGATCCACGAGGCTTGAAACTTCTCAATTGATTTCTTAGAGCTTCATTCCTTCAAAAATGTACACAAAACACTAAAAAGGCTCAAAACTTCACAGATGGAGATTAGGGTTTGCAAGGGGTCGTTTGGAAGGATGGAGGCTGAAGGTGGAAAGGTTTTTAGGAGTTAAGGTTGTTTAAATAGGGCTCAAACCGTCAATATTTGGGTTTGCTCATCAGCCGAGTACGCCCTGTGTACTCCTTGTGTACACAAAGGCACCCACGTCACCTTTTAATGACCTACGCCCGTCGTAAGGACCATTTTTGCAACAAATTTACATTTTGAGTCAAGAAAGGAAATTACCTGATTTGGCTGGGTGTTACATAATGAATTGGGGATTGATCTTAATAACATTTTTAACTAGGAGAGTGGTTGATGGAAATAAAACTTAGTTTAGATGTCTCATTGCTTTTCTACGGAGTTGTACGTGTCATATTAAAGGGAACTTTATTTTATAAATAATGATATATAATTATATATCAAGCAAACGAATTATTAACCACAAACTATATAAATTTTATTATTTTGTTGTATTTTCATTAAAAAATACCTAATATAATTCATCAATCATGATTGGTATCTTAATAATTTTTTCATTTGCATTCTTTTTCCCTCGATAAAACTCATCCTGATATTAGTGATTTAACTAAATTCTAAAGGAATCGGGTAATTGATATAACACATAAGTAATACAATTTTATTTTATTTTCACATGTATGGTGTATTTTGGATAGAGTTTTTGGAAGATTTTAGTTTTTAGCTTTTAAGAAAAAAAAAAGTTCATTCGATAATACGGGCCTTTATTTTATTTTAAACAAAAATCTCTTAATTCAAAAGTTACTTCAATGGCATGTTCGACACAAAGCGTAGTTGTTTGGAGCTTTTAGCTTTTCAATGCTTTTAGGTTTGATTTTTATGTAATTTTATATTTTAAAATCGAACAACTACTTTTGTCGAATATTTATGCATAAATAAAAGCTAAAGCTTTTTGCCTCCAACTAACACCTATCAGCTCGTTTTCTTCAAACACGCCCCCAATATCACAAATAGATATGCGATTTTCTCTTATACTTATATATTTTAGTGTTGGTGACAGTAAAAAAGTAATATGAACGACCAATTTCTCTACTAACGGGTAAGATGTGATGAATGGTTAGTGCAACCAAGCAATAATTTAGACGGTTTATATTATCTTATCAGTATCTTCAATCTTGAATTATGAGGTTTAACTGTTTCTTCACCTGTGACTAAATCGTTTCATTCTCAACACATGACAAACTTGACAACCAACTTGGACCTTTTTTTTCAATTTTGAAATGAGACATTGTAAGGGTCTTGTTGCATTTTCTTGAAGAAAAGTTTAAATGTACGTTAGACCTGTGCCTTCTAAACTTACAAGTAATGTTAACAGGCAAAACTTCCATTTTCAGCTTTCTCATTTAAAAAACAGCCGAGGTGACCATGGCAGCTAAACTAATAAAATCTATGCTCCCTTACACACCAGCCCTATAATTTTCACCAACTCTATCCCATCAACAGACCAGAAAACCTCTCTTTATACGTAATTCTATGGTGAACCTCAAGATCTCAGATGGGATGGTTAGATAGTTCTTGTTGGGGGTATGTTGCTCCCACTTTCCACTCACCTCAGGTACACTCTTTATCGAGAAACATGTCTCCGAGCATCTCACACTAAGTTTGTATACAAAAGCAGCCCTAAATACGTTTGGTCCTACGCAATCCACATTAAAAACTCTCCCATGTCCTTGAATGTCATGGTTGAGGACGAAGATGACCCTTTCATTCTGTTCTTGAAGAATTATATACTTTTGACCTCTTTTGACATCAATATTGAAGGTGGTGTTGAAGGTGAAAGGAGTAGCAGAAGATGAATGATGGGTGCGGAAATGAACGTACAGGTTGGCGTAAGAACCGGTAAACCCGCAGGATGAAAGAGGACAGAAACATAATGTATGGCTACATACGTGTTCATGCTGAGCTTTCATATGGTAAATCAATGGCTCTGTGCATCCATACTCCTTGTTTTCGCAGTCTACTGTGATTGAATTGACTAGCTTCTCCATAGCTCGACATCGGTTGAATCCAATCGGCAAGCAGCATGAAGGACACTTGTGATTCGATTTCGTGCAACAACAGGAGCATGCTATGTGCCCATTTTGACACTACAATGGTAAATGCATTGTTAAAACAAGAGCATATGTGTATTCACGGATTTGAATTGAAAAGGGGGAATTATTAATTACCTGGTAGATTGGAGAGCGTAATGGTTCGAGGCAGATCGGACAATCGAGCACGTCTGGATCGGTGAACACCACCGGAATGTCTCTGCTTGAATCTCTGATCGGCGATGAAACCGGGCTAGAACTCGAATATCCACTATCAGAATGGTGATTCTGATGTTGCCCCAAATCATCCACGATCCAGACATCATCATCCACGTCTTCCATCGGAGTCCCTCCTGAGCCCAAATCGGAATCGGATTCCAGCGGAATCACATTCTCGTCTTCCTCCACCGTACATGACGGACAGACTCTGTGTGGCGCTCGTGATGGCTGAAACATCTGCTGCTGCGGTGCCGATTGGGCGAACCGCGGCCGCCTATTATCGGACCGGTTGACCATTGGATTCTCCGCATCGTCTTGGCCGCCGCCAGCAGACGCCATTGAGGCCGAAGCTTGAAGCCTCCTGACCATATTTTGACTTCTGTCCGCCATAGATTTGAGATTCTTGATTTTTAAAATATGAAAGGGACAGAGCAGCTGTTGTTGTTAAGAATAAAGAAATAGTTATAGCAAAATTTTACACCTGCTGCCGACTTCATTGCGCCTGGTTTCCAGAATTCTAACGAGAAAAAAATAAAAAAACAAAAAAAACGGGTGGAAGTAAGAAAAAAAAAAAAAAAAAATTTGGCGTTTCGTTAAAGGAAGGAAGTAGAGAGAAATGAAATGATATTTTTCCTCCAAACTTTCCTTCCGATTTGGAAGGATTTGGAAAGAAAGAACAAAATGATTAACTTTCTTTCCAATTCCGAAACACAAAAGAAAATTTTGTTTTCTTTTCCTTTTCTTTTTTCTCCTAACTTTTTTTCTCTTCCTTTATTTTCTTTTGTTAAACTCGAAAACTAGGCGTTAAAGTAAATAAAAGAAAAGAAAAACAATGAAAGAAAAGAAAAGAATGAGAGCTTAAAGAATAAATTATTCGAAAGAAAAGAAAAAGAAAAGAACATTTATACCATTCATAGAAAAAAATTTATTTTAGGTGTTGAAAGGAAAAGAAAAAAACATTAAAAAAAGACTATTATAACATATTGAGTAAATATCTCCACTCCCAACCAACTCTCTCCCTTCCCCATCCCTTCTCCTCAAAACATTAACAAAAGATTTTTTTTAATATAGAATAAATAGCACAAAGAAAAACCACATGGCACATCATGAAACAAGTAAATACATAAGCTCAATCCAGTAATCGTCAATTGTTTTCAAGATACAAAACGAAAAACACAAACAACTAAAAAAAACAAAAAAAAAATCACAAACTCATCCAAAATCACCAAAAAAATATATGTTTCAAGTCAATAAACGCATAAGATCAATCTAGTAACAATCACCTAAGGTTATTTAATCGCGTATGCCCATCATCCTAGCTCTTACTTGATTTGCTGCCAAAAAATTTAGAGCCCTCGATAATTCATGGGGTTCCAAACCTACCAACTATATTTCTCTATAAATTTCTTCCCCTGTATACTCCCGATGATAAGCTCTATCAAATATTATATTACACTCCCTGATAGCAGCAACCACATTATCAATCAATTTCATAATCTTTGAGTTAAAATCTTCTTTTTCTTCTTCAAATTTCCTCTTTTTACTCTTACACTTCTTTGCACTTGAAGACCGATATGGTGAAAAAGGAGTTGGAATAACCTCCTAAATGTCATCATCAACATCAACCTATTGGTTCTCCAAATGAACTTCACTGGTAGCTAACAACTCATCAACTACTATAATTGTTTCTACTTGAAAATAATACCAACATATCATCGAAGTTTGCCCCCCTTTTTGTCTTTAACGATGCAACCTCAGGTTTTGACTGTTTAACAACACAAACATTATTAATATTGCAAACGATAACATAAAATATTTAAAAAGCTAAATAGACATAAAAGGAACACTTACTTGTATTAAATTATCTCATACTTCTTCATCTGCTTCTATTAGTTGAGTAGACAAATTCCAAGAGAACCCACTCAATGAAATTCCTCTAAACAAATTGTACCATTGAGAAAAATGTGTTTTTAAGGTTTTGTAGCGATTCTTTAAATTACTTTTGGTAATACTCATTTGATGCTTTGTGTTAAACACCTCAACCATTTGATCATGCGCAGTTGGTGTAAAACTACCATTTACTGTATTCCCTATATCTAGTTGTTTAATCATTGCTTGAATGTACGCACAATCCATTTTCTCTGACCATTTAACTTGTTCCTTTTTACTACCGTTGGCTTCGTGATGACTTTGCACATAGGAAAAAACAAAATATAAAAGAAGGATACATTGTTAGACCTAATAAATTCTTGGAAACTATTAACATAATACTAATGAAAAATATGAAAGGTAAATAACATAAATAATCTCAAAAACCTATCTTCAATACAATGTGAAATTGAAAAACTAAAAGTATCAATAGGAAACTAGTTTTACATATTACTTTTAATTATTTGAATGTATCAAATAATTTGCCCACATTTCATTTGCAATTGAATTCCTTAGTTGTTGTGCCCTACTACTACCCTCATCTGTTTCTGTTAAATTACGATGCTCTTGCTCTTATGGTCCATGTAAGATCTCCTGCATCACTTCATCTTCAATATTTATGTCGCGGTCTTCATCTAGTAGAAAGTTGTGTAGAATACAACATGCAGAAAAAAGTTATGGCAGATTGTGTTTCACAGGAATAAAATGGTTTTGTTGTACTTCGAATGATAGGAAACCTTCTTTTGAGGACACCAAAAGCTCCTTCAATGGCGTTACGTAAGGAAGCATGACGAAGATTAAACAACTCTTTTGAATTTTGAGGAGCACACATGAGGTACTCTTTTAAATAGGTCTGACAATTCTCGACACGACCCATGACACAACACGAGATAAACGGGTTTGGATTGAGTTTTTCAACCCGCCAACCCATCAACCTGTTTATTAAACAGGTCATATATGAGTTTGTCAAAAAACATATGGGTTGACCCGCCAACCCGTTTAGATTTTTTAATAAAAAAATTATATATTTTCTAAATATATTAAGTATTATTCGTAGGAATGTAGGATACTATGATATGATACCACTGTATTAAGTATTGACGTTTGGTGAGTTATTTTTAATGACATTTATACATTTTTACTTATGTGTGTTTTAACCTTGCATATTTTTTCTACTTAAAGGTTGAAGTTCATCATAAAGAAGAAAACGGTGTTGGAGAATTGACTTTGTTTTTTAGGAGAAAAAATGGGAATTGTGGCTTTTACATTAACACTTGAATTTGTCTATGTTTGTATTAATGTTTTAGTTTAAACATGTTTCCATGAATGTTTTTAATTTTCATTTGCATCTAGAATATATTCATGTTTAATTATCTATTTTATTTATGGAATGTGATCCACGAATCCAAATTTGACTCACGAACCCGTCAACCTATGAACTCGTATAAATATGTGGGTTGACGGGTCGTATATGGGTTTATGTTACAATCTCGTCAATCCGTGACATGTATAGTTAAATGGGACGTGTTCGAGTTGGTGTATTTTGACCCGTGACCCGCCAACCCGAACACGACACGATTGCGAGACCTACTTTTAAATGATATTGAACACCTCTATATGGCGCCATTAGTTTACTTGTATGAGGCAAACCCACATCTACCAAACCATATCTACCTATAAAAAGTTAAATCAATATCATTGTAAAATCTTATATATTGAAATTACTTTGGTTTAATAAATTACTTGATGGAATTAGTTGTTTATCATCTCTTGTAAATGCATTCTTTATTATTCTCGAGTATGATGTAGTACCCTCCCAACCCGTTAACACATACGTAAACTTCAAATCAAATGTACAAGCAGCTAGTACGTTTATTGCCGGGTATCCCTTACGACCACGATATCCAGGGGCATCTTTAGGTACATAGACACAAACATGTGTTCCATCAATTTCCCCTATATAATTCTTGAAAAAAGGAGGTACACAGACACAAACATGTGTTCCATCAATTTCCCCTATACAATTCTTGAAAAAGGATAAAATCTTTTTTTTTCTTGAATTTCTCTCGGTACAACGTCTCATTTAGGTTGCTGAATATAAAGACCTTCTATTGATATAATGGATCACAATACTCTATGAAAAAACATACTCGTTTTCGATCTAGAGCGACGATACATCCACGAGGTAAACCGAGTTCATAAATCGTTACTTACAATATGCAAAAATCTAGCAACATGCTCTTCAACGGGCATGTGTTGCATAGGTCGTAGACCACCTTTAGTTTGTAATATTTCACATAATCTCCTAAAAGTGTTTTCACTTTTACGAATAAGGTCACATTATTGACCTCCCTCTAAAAGATTGTGCAGTAACTCTTCCCATACAACTTGTCTTTCTAAAATAACTTTTCTAGTGGGCAACTTAACCTGCTTTGTGTTGGCCAGAGTACGTTGTGTAATAAAAGTCAACAACAAGCAAATCAAATTAACCACTTGCAATTGTCGAGCTCTCAAAACATGAGCGGAGGTGAGTACCGGATTATCCATAAGGACTATGTATATGAACTAAGCCCTTTTTCTGATACACGATCAAATTGTTTGAGTTATATTAAGAAAAAAAATTGATCGCTTTCAAGATACAAAAAATGCTAATTTCAAGAAAAGGAACAGTGACGAGTTCACAAAAAATTGTGATAGAATTGTACCTGAATGATGCGTCGGAATGGATTGATTGTCTGGGTTTGATATGTTTATATGAATATATGGATATGTTTAGATAGGGTTCTGCTATTCAGAAATAGACGAGCTATTTCAACAGAAGAAGATTGAGATCAACTCAAATCTTAAACACTCAAACTTAGCTTGTCTATTTCATATGGGCAAAGGCCCTATTTATAGGCTCAAAGGAGCCGAGTACAATAATTGAGTTGCAATCGTTTGATTGCAATATGACAAACCTATTTACATTATAGCCCCCTAGACTATTGAGGGACTTACACACTTTATGTTACATCACAATAATACAATGGACATATAATAATTATCCTACCGACACTTTAATTTAATAACAATCCTTTCCATATTGAAAGGACACGTGTCTTCAATAATGTGTCTTCTTTAATAATGGCTTCTTATGTCATTGCTTACGTCATTCCTCCCGCCTCCGAAAAGACATGTTTTTGAATAATGTTTGCTTTTGTCATGGCTGACGTTAATCTTCCATGAATGGTGTTTCTTCTGTGTTTTCTGAACAGTGACTGCAATTGTGTCTTGGAGCATGCATAATATGTTTGCAAAGTTGTTTCTTGATATCATCGGGTAATTCAGCCAGTTGATGAGAAATTTTTTTGAAAGGTTGTTCGAATGTTTCAATTGCTTTCATTGCTTCCGAAGTGATTTAATTGTCTGTTAAAGAGTAGATAATGAAAGTTTTACTAGCATAATTTACTCTGATTCTTGACCTTTGATCTTTACCGTTGCCAATGTGTGATGATGCTAAATAAACACCG